ATTATTTTTTTTACTGCAATCTTTTAACAAAAAAAAAATACATGTACAGTGGACCCCCAACCAATGGCATTAAACCATTCCAGAGAGCTTGCTGTTGGTCGAAATTACTGTTGGTCCATTTAATTTTCCTCATAAGAAATAATGGAAATAGAATTAATCCATTCCTGACACCCCAAAGTCTGAAAAAAAAAAAAAATTTTTTACATGAAATATACATTTCCTTATATGGGAAGGAATGGGACATGCAAAATAAACTTTAATTAAATGCCACTTACCTTTATTATGGAGTTGTTGATGAGTGATGTGCCAGCAGCAGGGGAAATTCAGAATTGTCTATTGCTTGGAAGGAGAATCCCCTTCCAGAAGGACTTCATTTCCATCGTAATTCTCACCCTTTTTAACACAGGCTTGGCACTAGAAGCTTTCTTGGGACCCATGGTGGCTTATTTAGTAGTTACAAGCACTAGAAATAGTGGAATTATCCAAAATATATGGGAGGCACACATGGAAACCAATCGCAACAGCTTGTAAACAATGGCAAACTGACTCTTGGAGTGGCTGGACCCGCTCAGGCCGCGCTCCGGAAACATCGACACGTTCTGGACAAACGTCGTTGGTTAAGTTTTTCGCCGTTGGTCAAGGCATTTTTTCTATGGCAGAAAGTGCCGTTAGACGAAATTGCCGTTACTTAATGCCGCTGTTAGTTGAGGGTCGACTGTACTTGTATTTCAGATTTTAAAAATAGTCTGGGAGCAAGAAATTTTTTTTTTACCATATTGTTTATTATGAAATTGTTTGGATAATCAAGTATTGTAATGTATGAGAAGAAACTTGACATCAAGTAAGATGTGTTTTTATAAGCACTGTATACGACTTAAAGGACCATGAATGAGATTTTTTCCCAGAGACTGAGGAAAAGTATGGTTGGAGGAAAAAAGTTTTTATTTTCCTGGTTAATGGTTGATATGTAAGGATTGGCAGAGAGTGTATGCAGTTCCTTTAAAAAAAGAAATAAGTCTGTTAAACATACCAGGTCAAGTTTCTGGTAGAATTATTTTTGAAAGAGTTAGGTATAAGACCAAAAGGAGTTTATAATGTGGTATACAGATGAACAATGCTTAGATAAGGGCAAGGAATTCCTTATTGTGTTTATGGGGAAGGCATATGATAAGGTGGTTAGGGGATGATGTGGCAAATGGTGCAAATATTTGAAATAGGAAGTAGGTTACTAAAAGCAATAAAGAGTTTATGTGCAGAAAGTGAGAGGTCAGGTTAAGGTATGTCGGAGAGAAAGCGACTATTTTTCAGTAAACCTAGGCCTTAGACAGAAGGTGTGATCTCAACATGATGGTTCACTATAGTTATAGATGGCATTAGGGAGAGGTGTGAGATTAAAAGATAATGAGAGTGTTATGAAATAGGATTTATAACAACTGCTCTTTTCCATTAAAGAAGTTCTTTGGGAGATTCTTCAGAGAAATTGCAAAGATTGGTGAAGGAATTAGGAGTGTGTAAAATGTGGAAATTAAAAGTGAACATAGAAAAGAGCAAGGTGATGAGAATAACAGAATGAAATATTGGATATCAGATTGGAGGGAGGAAGTAAATGTATTTAGATATTTGGGATTGATGTGCCTGCAGATGGGTTAATGATGAGGTGAACCATAGAATAGACAAGGGTAGAAAAGTGGGGGAGGGGGGGTTGAGGCTTCTGTGGAAAGAAAGTTTATTTATGGAGTAAAGAAAAATGTGCCAGAGTATAGTGCTACCAATAATTTTATATGGATTTGAGACATGGACTTTAAAAGTTGCAATGTTTAGAGCACTTGAGGCAGTGGAAATATCATGTTTGAGAGTAAGGTGTGGTGAGAATATTATGCAGAGAATGAGGAGTGCAGAAATTAGAAGACTGTGTGGAGGTAGAGAAGAGGTTGTTGAGGTAGTTTTGGGCATTTAGAAAGGATGGAGCAGAATAGGATAACAGGGTGTATAAATCCAAGGTGGAAGGAAGAAGTAGGGGTCATCCCAAGAAGGGTTGAAGAGAGAGGGTGAAGAAAAGTCCTAAGTGCTAGGTGGTTGAGCAACCAGTAGGCTTGTGTCAGTGTGTTAGGTGTTTGGATGAGTGGAGACAAGTGGGTTTTAGGGGTTGGTATACCATTGAAGTGCAAGTAAGGTAACATGAAGGGATTCAGGGGGTCACTGACCCTGTGTCCTAGTCCCAGACCAGGCCTTCCAGTTGCTGGCCCAATTGATCAGGCTGTTGGTATCTGCTGCCCACAGACCAATGTGTGCACCACAGTCCAGCTAATCAGGAACCGACTTGAGGAACTTATTGAGTTCCCTCTTGAGGACACCTAGGGGTTAGTTGGTAATTCCCCTTATTCCTTAGCCACCAGGCCATGGGGCCTGGTGGCTAAAGCTCTCGCTTCATATGGCAAGGTCTGGGCTCGATTCCCAATGAGGATAGAAACATTAGGCGTGTTTCTTTACACCGGTTGTCTATGTTCTCCATCAGTAAAATGGGTACCTGGGAGTTAGTTGACTGGTGTGGGTTGCATCGTGGGACAAAACTGACCTAATTTTCCCGAAATGCTTTGCATAACAAGCTGCTTTCTATTTAGTAGTATGTCATTGATGTCAGCTATGTCTGTATACCATGTACTTGTAGAAATAAAGATATTATTATTATTATTATTATTATTATTATTATTATATAGTTTGATCTCTTTACATATATTGAGTTCTTTCTGAGTGTACATCATGCTCCTGTTTTTCATTGTAGGTATTTGCACTGTCTGCCAAGCATCATGCTTTCATAAAGAGTAATTATATTTTTTAGTTTTCATAATCTTCTATATGAAGATAATGATGTGTATATCTTTCTTGCCTACATTCTAAGTAGTACAGTTCCAGGGACTTCAAGCACTTCCGATAATTTAGGTGCTTCACTTAGGTTTATAAGCTATGAAGGTTCCCTGTACATTCTCCAGTTCTAGAATTTCGTCTGCTTTGAAGGGGGCATAGTATTCACATGTAGCAATAGTATAGCCGAAAGAAGACAAGTAGTACCCAAAGAGTATCATGATTAGTTTAAAAACTCGTTTTGAAAGTTATAGTTATCCAACCTGTCATTTTCTTGGCATTATTATTCCCAAGTCTCTCACATTAAATGTCTACTCTGCTGTTGTGTACTTTGAGCTCTTTTTATTTTTACCATGAGTGGAATTTGTCCTCATTGAACATTATATTATTGTCAGTGGCCCACTGGAAGACTTGGTTTATATTTATGTCTTCAGTGGATTCCATTCTCATGCATATTCTTGTATCGTCTGCAAAGTATGGTATGGTGTTGTGGTTTATGCCCTTTTCTATGTTGGCTATGAGAATGAGAGGTGGGGGAGTATCATACCTTGAGGAACAGTTTTTTTTTATTTATTGTCGCGGCTTCTACTTTCACTCTGTTTACCACTACTCTTAACATTCTGTTTGCTAGGAAGTTAAATACCCATCTGCTCAGCTTTCCTGTTATTCCCTTTGCATGCGTTTTGTGTACAATTATGCCTTGTCGCATTTGTTGAAGGCTTCTGCATTATGCTTGTCTTCTGGTGCATTCAAGACCATGTCTTATTGGTCCAGCAGTTGTGAAAGGTACAAGTGACCTGATCTGAATCCATGTTACCTTGGGTTGTGCAGTTGCTGATTCCAGGTGAGTGGCAGGTTTACTTCTTTAAATGCTTTCAAAGATTTTAATGTTTGATGTCAGGGGCAACACAGTAAGTGGGGCCCAAGACTGTACAATTGCCTACCAGCATACATAAGGGGGATTACGAATAGACCCCTGGCTGTCTTCAAGAAGGCACTGGACAGGCACCTAAAGTCAGTACCTGACCAACCGGGCTGTGGTTCGTATGTCAGCTTGCGTGCGGCCAGCAGTAACAGCCTGGCTGATCAGACTCTGATCCATCATGAGGCCAGGTCTCAGACCGGGCCATGGGGGCGTTGACCCCCGAAACCCTCTCCAGGTAAACTCCAGGGCCATTGGTCTTTTGTTGCTGCCACCTTTATGGAATGGGGCTTTAATTAAGGGTGTCTTTTTTAATGACTGTGGGATGATTTAAGTGTCCAGGCTTCTTCTCCATAGAATATTAAAGGCAAAAGATAGTGGTTTCATGTAATTCATGATGAATATGAAGTTCCACGAGTCTGGGCCTGGGGCCAGATGCAAGAGCATGGAATTGATCGCTTCTTCCGAGCTAAGTGAGGTTAACCAGATCTGAATCCTGCACAGTGCCTACACTCTGAAAGAAGACTGAGGATGTTGTTTGCTGGAGGATCATCTGAATTAGGATGTATGCACACTTCTGGCAAAACAGGTATTAAATGAATGATGAATGTGTATCCTTTTTGGGGGATAAGTCTAACTTGGTGAGAAACAGCCAGTGCAGTAAATTAAAACACACACACACAGAGTAGCTGTCTGTCACTCGACCCCTCCCCAACCACAATTAGGCGAGTACAACTAGGTGAGCGCACACACACACACACACACACACACACACACACACACACACACACACACACACACACACACACACACACACACACACAAGGTGGACAGAGACAGGATGTTATAGAGATGGGACACAGCAACAAGGGGGTCACAATTGGAAGTTGAAGACTCAGACGAGTCACAGGGATATTAGTATTTCTTCAGTCATAGAGTTGTCAGGAAGCGGAATAATCTGGAGTAGTGTAGTGGAGGCAGGATCCATACATAGCTTTAAGAAGAGGTATGATAAAGCTTATGAAGCAGGGAGAGTGGACTTAGTAGCGACCAGTGAAGAGGCAGGGCCGCACAGGAGCTGTGGCTCGACCCCTGCAATCACATATAGGTGAGTAAACACGCATGCACGAAAAACAGTTTTCATGTTATGTACTGTACAAATGTGTTTAATAACATTATAATGTTTTGATAAAATGTTTTGTTTCCCAATGTACAGAGTTACGGAGGTGGCGGGCAGGTAGCAGCAGTGTCGCCCATCACGACGCCCACGTCGACAGGTGGGCCGCATGGTGGGGGAACGGGCAGTGGGGGTGGTGGTGGAGGGTGTGGGGGAGGTGCTGGAGGATACTCTGCAGCATCACCGTCGTCACACTCCAGCTACGGTGAGCAACTCTCCCGCACCAACCTCTACATCCGAGGCCTCAGCGCCGACACCACCGACAAAGACCTCGTCGATATGTGCAAGAAGTGAGTATTGCTTCTGCCTTGGCGCTGCCATGTGCTACCCTGGCACTGTTCTAAGGTGTTCCGTGATACACTAACTCTTGTTTACCTGGAAACAAATGGTATAAACTACCGACACAATGGAAATATAAATACATAAGCAGTATAATATGATACTTTATTGACAACGTTTCGCCCACGCAGTTGACTTGTGACTTGATAAAGCCCATTAAGTCCACTGTGTGGGCGAAACGTTGTTAATAAAGGATCACATTATACTGCTTATGTGTTTATATTTCTCTTGTTTACCTGTAGAGAATTCCAGAGATCATCACTGCCAGACCAGACCTCATTGATAGCGTGGTCTGGTTGGTGCTCACTGTGTGCACTCCAATACAGGTACAGACGAAGCAACAAATTCGCGAGCTTCTTAATTTGTGAGATTCGATTATGAGACGATTATACAAGAACCCCAATGGATATAAGTAACCAAAACTTGGGTCGCAACTCTGGAAGACATTAAATCATTACATTTATATTTTTTTCTAAATGTTTTCTTTACTGTGCTATAATTTTAGTGAGTTTCTGAGGTGCTAAGTAGGTACCAGTAGTTTGGGTCTCGAAGATGATGTGAATTTAAACTTTAGGTATTTAACAAAAAAGTTTAAGAAACACTCGCTGAGACTTCCCTCTTAGTATTATTGCACCATAGCTTTCCATTAGGAATATTTTGCACTGTCTGTCAGTGCAAAATTCTCGTGAGGGCTAATTCCAGTCGTCCAGTATTTTAAGGTGTTCCCGGTAATATAGGCATTTGATTGAATTTATACTGTATATAGATAGTGAAAGGTTTTCTGTACAATTTCCTTAAAATGGATTGTTACGTAGTGTACAACAATACTCCAGTGTAGAGAGTACAAATTTATGCTTTGAAGAATATTATCATTGGCTTGGCATCTCTTGACTGTTCTCCACGTCCAACTTATAATTTTCCATGCAGGATCCACATGACATAATGCATGACAATGGTGAACAAGAATGTTGCAGAATAAGCTTTTATTGCGACAATTACGTTTCTCTCTATACAGAGCAGAAGATGGCTAGCAAAAGATTGTCCCAGATAAAAGCTTATATTGCAATGTGTCCTTTGTTCATTTTCCTTTCAGTTGTAATAGTAGCACTTTTGTCGTCCTTGAACTTAAAATCTTTGGTAAAAAAATTATATATTTGTGATACCGACGAGTAGTTGGAAAAAGATACAATGTAAACACTAGGATATTTTATTGGCAATGTTTTTGTGTCATTTTCCCTTTAAAAGTCTTATGCTGTGGTTGCCTATTAGCTCCCTCGTAGAGTACATAGATAACATCTAACCTCGTTGAACATCATATAGCTTTTGTCTCCCTCTGATAGACGGCTTTTATTGGCTTGAAGGTTTACTAGCTACTTGGACGCCACTCTCATACATATGCTGTTATTCTCCACGAAATGTTACAGCGATGTAAGTTGTCTCAATACCTATATGTCAAGATACGAAAGAGAATTAGGGGACTTTGTGTACCTCCTGGAGTATACCTGGAGAGAGTTCCGGGGGTCAACGCCCCCGCGGCCCGGTCTGTGACCAGGCCTCCTGGTGGATCAGAGCCTGATTAACCAGGCTGTTACTGCTGGCTGCACGCAAACCAACGTACGAGCCACAGCCCGGCTGATCAGGAACTGACTTTAGGTGCTTGTCCAGTGCCAGCTTGAAGACTGCCAGGGGTCTGTTGGTAATCCCCCTTATGTGTGCTGGGAGGCAGTTGAACAGTCTCGGGCCCCTGACATTTATTGTATGGTCTCTTAACGTGCTAGTGACACCCCTGCTTTTCATTGGGGGGATGGTGCATCGTCTGCCAAGTCTTTTGTTTTGCTTTCGTAGTGAGTGATTTTCGTGTGCAAGTTCGGTACTAGTCCCTCTAGGATTTTCCAGGTGTATATAATCATGTATCTCTCCCTCCTGCGTTCCAGGGAACACAGGTTTAGGAACCTCAAGCGCTCCCAGTAATTGAACTTACTGTAAAGGTCTCTGATACAAATAGTTGACTTTCATTTATGTCAGATTGGTTAGTTAAAGATGCATGTGTCCACTTCTTCATTTATTTGTTTTCCTTGCATTTTATTTGCTGTTACATCATGACACACTCGTCGCATACCTTCATATTTTGCATATTTTGTTGCATTTTCCTGTGTATGACAACCACGTCGTAACGGTTGCGAGACAGAACTCTTCTTTAAACTGTAGGCCAGCACACATTACCAGGACAAGACACAGTACCAGACCATTGCACAATACTAGGACATTAAACAGTGCGGGGAGAGCACACAGCACAAGACATGGTACAAGGACGAGACAGCACCAGGACAATACAGTATCTGAGCATTATATGCTGCCTTGGCACTGTTCACTAACTGGGTGAGGTTATGCATACAACACTAGCGAGACCCTTCGGGTCCGCAATTGAACGAACCCTGGTTCATTCTCCTGGCCGGCTAGGCATCTGGACAACCCTACTTACATTCCCTGCTCCTGCTCACCTGGTAGTAAAATAAAATATATTAACCATTATGGCTTTGTAAAATGTGTTTGAGGGTGGCGGGCGGGGATGATGATGGTAGGTGGCGCTGGTGGTGGCTGGGGAGACTACTGCAGTGACAAGCTGGACTGCTGCAGTGGCCCCGCCGCCTCCGATCTCATCGTGACACTGCTCTTCTAGGTACTAATTCCCCTTATTCCTCTTTGCCGGTGAAGCCGAATGGTGACCAGAGTGCGTTATTGTGTCGGTAGTTTGGCCTAATTCTTGTCAGATTCTGTACTTGTGGACAGTCATGAATTTCAGATATACTAGAAATGCTTAAGTAACAGAGTAATGCAAAGAAAAAATCATGGATACAAAATTGCTAACAACTAGTGTCCAGAAAGCCTTTCTGCATTTTTTTAAAGTTAGGGACAAAAACTAGATGGTACTAGAGGAAGTGAATACAATTTTGGAGTATCCACATCAGGTGACCAGACCTCAAACATCTATTACACAGCGATAAAGGTCTAGATGGGTTACCTGATCATGTCGAGGCCACTTCTAGTATAACAGTTTAAAAATAGATCCATAGAATATCTAATGAATGAAGCGCCAGAAATGGAGGATAATGATTTCTTATATCCTTAAAATATTTATAGATCGTTTTTGGATCTGATATGGATTTTTGTGCTGACTGACTAATATATATAAAAGTGGATAATGAGACATCTACGACAAAATAGAAGTGCGTAATTAGATAAAAATTTAAATAAATCACTGCTTGAGCTGATTCCTCCAAGGTACCTAGTGCCTCCCAGGGCACTAAATACCCTCCCAAGTACTTGCGTGCGCTACAAGGCGTTAATGTGTGTAGCTACTTGTAGCTACGTGAGAGAATAATACTTGGTAATTAGACTGACAGAAAAGGCTTTTAAAACTGTATTTGTAGTGTCCAGATGATTGTGTTATTTTAGCTTCAGGTTTGAGTGGTGTGTGGAATCATTAATACGGTACCATGGGGTCCAGTCCCTTGACCCATTATGTACCTCTAATCTTTTGACTACCGCCCACAGGATGGGTATGGGGTGCATAATAAACATTAAACTAACTCAGTGTGACCAAGTTGTCTCTGCTGGTGACCTACTATAAGTGTTCTTGCTGGTGACCTGTACTAAGTGTCATTGCTGGTGACGAACTGTGACCTGTGCTGTGAGTGTCCTTGACTGTGACCTGTGCTGTGAGTGTCCTTGACTGTGACCTGTGCTGTGAGTGTCCTTGACTGTGACCTGTGCTGTGAGTGTCCTTGACTGTGACCTGTGCTGTGAGTGTCCTTGACTGTGACCTGTGCTCACCTGGCTGTGGTTGCAGGGGTCGAGTTACAGCTCCTGGCCCCGCCTCTGAAGTTGTCTTCACTTCATCACCCCGCACAAGAAGCCTCCGAAGCCTTTATCATTACTCCCCGCTATCAAGAATTACCAATTAACCCGTAAACATTGTTGGCAGCGGTGGGATGCTGTGGCGTGGAGTCACAGAGACGCCACTTACAATTTTTGAAGAAATTCGGTAAATTTCGGCTAGATCCTGCGTGTACCTGTGTCTGGATGCTGAAACGTGCAGACACGACATCAGGATAACTCGTTGAGAGATGGATGCTTCTTGTGTGGGGTGATGAAGTGAAGACAACTTCATTCCTTTTCCTTCCTCTCTCCGGGCAAACACACTTGCTGTGACAGATAAGATAAGATAAGATTTCGTTCGGATTTTTAACCCCGGAGGGTTAGCCACCCAGGATAACCCAAGAAAGTCAGTGCGTCATCGAGGACTGTCTAACTTATTTCCATTGGGGTCCTTAATCTTGTCCCCCAGGATGCGACCCACACCAGTCGACTAACACCCAGGTACCTATTTGCTGCTAGGTGAACAGGAAAACAGGTGTAAGGAAACGTGTCGAAATGTTTCCACCCGCCGGGAATCGAACCCGGGCCCTCCGTGTGTGAAGCGGGAGCTTTAGCCACCAGGCCACCGGACCACCGCTTCCACCAATGTTTATGGGTTAATTGGTGATTCTTGATAGCGGGGAGTAATGATAAAGGCTTCGGAGGCTACTTACTTTATTTGCAATGTCGTGGGGTACACAGGTAGTGTGTTAAGTGCCCATGGCCTGGGAGAGTGAGGAGTAAGGCCTGTTGTCTGAGTGAAGGCCGCTGAGAGAGTGAGGTAGAGGCAGGGGTGGGCAGGCTGGCATGCCCACCGAGAGGCCTGGCCTCCGGTAGAAACTATGGGAATTAGGCTCACTGGCTACATTCACTGGTTGCTACTAGGTCACTCTCCCTGCTCCATGAGCTTTATTATACCTCTTCTTAAAGCTGTGTATGGATCCTGCCTCCACTACATCACTTCCCAGACTATTCCATTTCCTGACAACTCTGTGACTGAAGAAATACTTCCTAACATCCTTGTGATTCATCT